ACGATTAAAAAAAAAGATCTTTAGAGAACTTTTCTGTTTAGAAAAAAACAAGATCTATATGTATAAAAGCAGTCTAATAGCATAACCACAATATCGGGGATGATTAGATAAAGCAAATCCATCAACAAATGATGTTAATATTGAGAAAACCTAGTTTAAGAACTAATGAAATAAAAGAACAATCTAGCTAGTAGGTCATGTGAAATTAGGAATTGCAAACCTAGAGACTATAGGTCCTATACCGCAAGACTAGGGACCCAGAATGTTATATGATGGACTTAATGAAGCATGAGCTATCTCACGAGTTTGGTAACATACAGAGGCCTGCAGCCTTCTGTTAATCTCTGCAGAATGATAACTCTGGCCTTAAAAGATGTAACAGATCCTAAGGTGTCTAAGGACCTTCAGAATAGCAGAAGGAGGTAAAAAAAAAAAAAACAACTTGTATGAAGTATAGTATCTGATGAGTAATTTTATATAACAATTTAGAGATAGATAATAGAAGAATATTAATAACTATATCAGAGAATTTCAGCTTAGAACTTTGAATAATTGAATTAATTCAATTCACTAGATTATTGATATTAAAGAATTAGCAATAAGAATTCAGTTCTGTATATTTACAACCTAATTAGATAGTATACGAAAAATTAATAATAATAAATATAATTATATAAGAGCAAAGTTTAATTAGTTGATTGGCACATATTATACAAATAGCTAATAATAATAATAAAATATTATTTAATTTCATGTGATTGACTAATTACAAGAAAGTTATTCTATATAGTATTATCTGGTTATATCTAACTAGATATTACCTGATTATATCTACTTAGATATTATCTGATTAAATCTACTCGAATAGCTATAATCACTATCTGAATATCTGATTACTTGTAGGTAACTCATATAATACCTGACCTAAGTACAAATACTAACTAAACTAGTATTCAATATTTTATTCACTTTTCTTACTTTTCATAATTCAAAAAGCTTCTTTAACTCTTTATTTATATTTTTCTTTTATATTATCTTATTTTATGCAATATTATATATTTAACTTATCTTAAACTATACTCGTATTATAATCATAATTCTATCTATCTTTATATGAGAGTTGATCAGAAACTAAGTTGCAATTATAACTATGAGTTAAACTTCTGATGAATAGGCCAAATGATAGATCTTACTTTAATATATATTTTTTTGTGTTCAAAGATGAGAAGTTGCAGTTCTATATGAAAAATATTAATATCAATTTTAAATAACAGTAAATAATTTTATTATATAAAATAGATATTATATTATTATGCAAGCTCATATGATTATATCTTTTTTTTGCACTGATATTTTTATGTACAAAATATTATATAAGCTAATATTTTACAAATTCACAATTATTAAAGCAATACTTAATACAGATATTCAACAAATCCTTAATATTTATGCATTAAAAAGCTAAGTATATATTATATTTTATTATATATTTTTAATAATTTTTTTACATACAATAATGTCAATACTAACAATTATTTTATTTAAAGTGGCCTAAAATTAAAAATATAATTATAAAATATATTCCTAGAGATTTAGTGATCTAGTATAGTAAATAGGTTATCAAACTGCTATGTAATAGGTTTGGGGTTCAAATCCTTCTATTAACACTTTGAACAATTTTCTAAAACCTTGTACCTAACTTACAGTAAACTCTGTTTGTTTCTGGAGGTATAATCCTATAAATCATATTGCACTAATATTGTTCAGATATTAGAAGTATAATAGAATATTAGAGTTATATTATATGAATAAATCGAGATAGGATTTATAAGCAGAGAATCTGCATAGTAGAAATCCTGAGTTAGATAAAGTAGTATAAATTTTAATAGTCATACCAGTAAATGCTTGATCCAGCAAAGATTTCTGAGTATGAAGATATAGATCGAGTAGGTATGAGTAAGTCTATGACATTGAGTATTATAGAAATACTACTTGGCTTGGTAGCTAACTAGATTAGGAAGATCTGCCTTATAAAATATTCAGAAGAACACAGAAGTCTAAACTAGTATAGAGCCACAGCTAGAACTAGGTTTGTACAAACATTGAATAAGGGTATATGCAAGCTAGAATAAGGATTTAGCATAACATAGTTAGGTATTGTGATATCCATCTGTTAGGAGATATTGAAGTAGAACTTATTCAGATAAGACCTAAGCCTATAATAGTAAAGTTTGTAACTAATGTCAGCTTAGATACCTTCCAAAGTGAAGTAGCATGAGATTAGAATTAACTATAAGAGTAATATTTGCAGTAAGTAAGATAGGGCCAGAGAGTTTAAATAGAAAATCTTCTAAGAGATTTCAGGTATAGCAGCTAGTGTAGAACCTTTGAGCAGACTACTTAAAATAGATAACCTAAAATTGTATGTGTGACTAGTTGTACTCTTACAATATATATCACTTCCAAAATTTATGAAATTAATAAAATTAGCTGATAGCATTTGTATAAAGTAAAAAAAAAAAAAAAAAAAAAATACATTCCTAGTAAGGAATTTTTCAAATACCTCTTTATTCATTGGTTGCTTTTAATCTTTTAGTTCTTCAGTATTGCTTATTAAATTTAATTCATCTTTTTGCATATTTTGGTTAAGTTCGATCAATACTTCTCATGAAGATTTGAGTAGATCAGCTACTGAGAATTTTTAATTGCATTAAATAATGAATAATTACTTGCTAATGTAAAATCACTATGTATTTTTGTAAACTTTTCACCTTGACTAGTTATTTCACTAGTTTCAAGATTTTGTGGTTCTAGAGGTAGTAAATTTGAAATGAGCATTAATGTATTAAAAAATCTATTTAATCCTTGTTGTTGTATTACTGATTTGGGATATTCATATGATACTAAACCTTATAAGGTTTTGTGGTGAATAATAGACATAATAACTGAATCTGAATATTCTAATTCTTTCAATACTTGAACAGAGGTTTTGCAATTTGAATGATTAGATATATTTCTATCTCCAATTGTAATATTTGTAGCTTCACAGATCTGATGAAAATAATTTTTTAACAACTGTTCAGACAATGCATGACTATAATATTATTGTATACTAAACTCAACTGTAATAAAACAATTTTTTATTAATAAATTTATTATATCATATTTTAATTAATTACAATCGAGATATACAAAATTAAATTCATACAAATCAAAAAAACTAATAAATCAAAAAGTTAGAAATTTCATAAAATTTTTTAAAGTGATAACTACTTACTATCATTTGGAGTAAAAGGTTTCAAGTAAAAGTTCGTGACAGCACTTACTGGATGTTTTATAAAATAAAATTCATAATCATCAATAATACTCTTTATATTTAACAAACTAATTGTTTCAGCTTATGTATCAGAATTATTCAAACCTCTTTAATTCATCTTTGATCTATATAACTTAACATCAATGCTACTATCAAACCTCTTTACAAAGTTACTAATCAAAAGGTCTTGATGCTCGCTACCTCATAAAGCAAGTAATATTGAATTATAAAAAAATATATGACATAATAAACCTTCAAGAGAGGTATATTGCATCATAAGATGTTCTAGAATTTGCTCAACCTCATTAATTGTTAGACCATCTGCACCATTACGTTCACCTAGGCCTGCATAAGAGAGAGTTTTCATCTTTTCATTAATAACAGTATTCAAATCATAAAAAACTTTTGAATTTAAAATGTCCACTGGTTTTTCTAAAACTGATTTCTCATTAAGGTGACGCCAGATAGCAGCCATGCAATTTTTTATTGATAAGGCATGGTATTCTTTACCATCTCTACATCTCATCACACATACAAATTTAGATAATTGGTCTTCAAGAACTGACTTTGAGTCAATGTCCTCAATTCTTCCTTCATAACCAACATCTCCTCTAAAACCTTTACCCATACTTGCGTCGCTTTATGTGTCACTTTCACTTTAGAACTATCCCGGATATTTTTCAAATCTTCTGGAGATGGCTCCACATACTTGAACGTCTATAAATCGCATTAGTTTGTTTTTAGACAATTTAATAAAAATTTTTTTTAAAAAAAATTAAACCTTAACAGTTGTAGTGCGAGAAGTTTTCTTGATTGACTTCGGCATATTTTTTCTCTCTGTTAATTAGCGAACTGCCAACTTTCTTGCACGTATTATCTCTAGCGAAAGGCAAATTTTTTTTTTAATCGACTACCTGATCTATTTAGACGTATTAGTGTGACGATTTTACTACGCCATGATCATATTTGCACGATAACATCGATATCTTATAATTCATATGGGCGGAAAATTTCAATTTCGTGATTATTTAAGATGCGGCATTTAATGCCACGCGAGATTTATTTTGAATTTGGGATAGGATTTGGGGTATTGGAATTTGTATAGTTTTGCCATATGGGGTTTTTAAATCTAAGTAGATGATCTCGGTTTGTCCATGATCCCAAATCCCATAGGTTTTGCCGACATGTATACTTATGACTAGTAATGTACCGCGCCATAACACTTTCAATCTAACTATCGTACATCATTAATATCATCTTTAATGCAGTAATTGAGTTTTCTTTTACTTCAAATATTAATTGGCTTGAAGATACAAAATATGTTATTCTCGTTATGTATTAAAGATTTTTTAACCTCAATTATTATAAATTAAAGAATATGAAAAGTAATAATGTAATACTTCTTTAAAAAAATGATGACCCTGAAATTTTTATGCCAAAAAAGGAGAAATAAATTCCTCTTGTCAAAATAACAATTTAGTAAATTTTTATTTGCATAAATGACAAAATGAATATATTGTTAATGTTTTACAAACATTTTAATATTTTCTATATTAATTAATTTTTTGTTATTATACAACTTTGTCTCTATGCACTCTAACATCCTAAATTTAAATGGTTAATAAATTAGATAAAGTACAAAATTAAATATTTATATAAATCAATAAATAGATACAATATCAGTCTAGCCTCGCCTCTTATTATTTCTTCCTTCATCCTTTCCAGGGTGAGCATGCTTTCGTCCCCCGCCCGCGCCACCTTGTGACGCCCCTGCCTGACCTTGTGTAGTAGTATTGGCAGCTACCACAGGTGGTGCCTTCATATCATTATCATCATGTTTAACACTTCTCGAGGGATATTGAATTGGTTGTCCATCAAAAGAACTATTAAATAAAACAAATATAAATAAATAACATAAAAAGGGGATAAACATTTATGACATTATGATAAAACTAAACTAACTCCATGGATGGAAGAGGATCCTCTTCAAAATAAGGATGTTTCAGGGCATCCTCAGCAGTGATACGTGTTATAGGATCGTACTCTAACATGAGGGACAATAATTTATATCCCTGTTCTGACTTTGAAGAACAAGCATTTTGGTAAAATTCTCGTAGTCTATTTGGATAACTGATAAGAAAGAAAAATACATATTTTTTTAAAAAAAAGTAAATCTACAAGGAATTCTTGAATATATATAAAGAATATCATACAAAACTTACGTACGAAAAGCAGATAACTGAGAATATTCAGGTTGATTTCGATCTCGGGCCATTGTTCCTCTATATTCCATACAAAATTTCAATTAATGGAGTGAATTAAGTAAATAATTATCAATTATTTATATTCATTCTATATATAATTTGATTTTACTTGTTGGTTTCCCCAATATTTCAAAAATCTTTGTCAATTGATTTTTCTGAAATGGAACATTCTTTTTATTATCCATTTTTGCTTCTTCCCCTTTAAATATTGGTCGTAAAGTCAATAATTCAGCAAATATACATCCAACAGCCCAAATATCTAATTATAATTGCAAAATTCAATGAGCTAAAATGCCAGGAATATCAAAGAAATAATTTTTAAGTAGTAAACCTAACCTATCGCCTTGGTATAATGTTTAGACCCAAGTAAAAGTTCAGGAGCTCGATACCATATTGTTACAACCACCTTATCACCATTGAACAAGGGCTGTAGGGGAAGCTGATAAATTCTTGCCAACCCTAAGTCACCTACATAATTCGGATATGTTAATAATAACTTTTTTTTTTTTTAAAAAAAAAAAAAAAAAGTATGTTTAAAAATTTACCGATTTTCACTACACCATCAGCTGTGACTAAAATATTTGCCGGTTTTAGATCCCTATGTAAAACCCAATTAGCATGAAGGTATGCTACTCCATTAAGCAGTTGCCATAACTGATAAGAATGATTTGATAGTAAATTCGGGAATAGCAGCTGGTCTATCATGTTGACTATGCTGGCTATGGTGGTGGATTATTTGCTGTAAATAATTTGAGTAAATAATAGACCTAACTAAAAGAACATAATAATAATAATAATAGTAATTATAGATATCTTGCCAGAAAATCATGTTCAGCAAATTCGAATACCATATGAATTGAATTATCTTCTAAAAGTACTTCTTGAAGAGTGACAATATTTACATGACTAAGTTCCCGACACAACTTTGTTAATGAGTAAAAATAAATAATGACCCTTTAGTAGAGATATGCATGATTATAGAAATTCTATATAAATACCGATATCTCTCGACATGCGGACTGTGATATCCCTGTGTAAGTAGTGACGTCGCCTTCTTTATCAGGTTTAAATTTTTTTATTGCATACATAAGAGGCTTTTCATCATCTGAACTGTAAAGATATGATAATGATTTTTATCGATTTATTCGGCAACAAAATATTTATATTTACAATTACTTGATACAAACCTCTTACTTTTCTGTTTCGCCTGTGCTTTGTATACTCTTCCATAAGTTCCCGAACTGATAAACCCCAAAATCTCGTACTTATCTTCGACTCGAACCCTTTCAGTTTCGCGTTTTGCCCGAAATTCTTGTAGCATAGAGGACATCTTGTTAAAATATTTATGCGATATGCAGTTATATTCTATTTGATACGTACAATTTTGAAATTCTCTTTATTGGCTGTAGATCATTGTATGCAGTTTGCAGATCTTATTCAGATGAGCAGTGTTTCAAGCCACTTGACTTATCTACCAGCCGAGTAATAAGCGACTGCTAACAGCTTACCTACACTTTTAGAACTTTTCTAATTTTCTCTTTAGTATGTATTAAAAAAATTAGAATCATGTAGACTAATGGCGCAGTACTGGATGGTTATATATACGTAGTATTATAATAAAAAAAAAAAATTTTATTAATGACCACAATTTTAAAATTTATATGTTACCGATTGGAATATAACATATCAGATATGCCAATAATAAAATATAAGATCTTTAGTTTTTAATTTTAATACAGTATATACTAGTGCCTTAAATGATTGAAACAATAGTATTAATAGTTCGAAAAGTGAAAACTGTTACAAATATAATCATTGCTTGATACTCTAGAAATCATGCAAATATAAAACATTATACTTTTACAGTAAAATTTAAGTTGGAAACATAGAGAATATCAAAAAAATGAAAATTAAAATCATGGTACTCAAATTTGTTCTCAGAGTTTTTTAATCAAACATTTACTAAGCATCATCGTATAATAAGAAGCTAATTTTGAAGTTAAATTTACATACACGTGTAAATAATATTCTGATCTTACATTTTAAAACAGAATGATAATATTTAGAAAAGAAAAGAAACTTGGTTTTATTATTTAATAAAGAAAATTTATAAATGCTCGGTAAATAAATATTCGAATTATCAATTCCAATCTCCTGAATAAACTTGACGTGACTGATTAAAAAACAAGCAACTAATGGAATGGTCACCAAACTTATAGCGCTGGAATAAAAATTTGACGTTAATACTGCTTAATTTTTTTTCTTTTAAATCGGTATCATATGATATACCTATTATGCTTATGTCAATTTAGAATTAACATGAATTCCAAAACGACATATATCTCATATATCTTCGTAATTTCTAATTCGGATCCACTCTCTTCAGTATTTGATTTCTCATCTTCATACATATTTTATAATTTATCTGTTAAAATAACATTCAGATGGTTACTCAATGTTTTTTTTTTTGGTTTCCATAATAAAGGAATATTGCGGAAAAATAAAAATGATGCATTCACCTTCCAAAGATAAATTTTTATAAATAATATTTTAAGTTTTTCGGATCTTATCGTATTTCTTTTACCATCCACATTATACTTTCGTATTTCTCGGAAATATTTCGCACGTAACTACTACTCAAATCAATTACGTAATCTTATGGTTCACGCTTAATAAAGGTAAATTAAAATTAAAAATTAATACGAAGTCTGAAAATCTTCACCAATAATACTGAAACGACGAAAGTTTACCAACGTTACCGAAACGACGAAAGCCTTCAATATACACAACGACGACTCCAATAACGACGACTTTAATAACGGTGGTAACTCTTACAATAATGACTTAACAACGAAACGGCAAATAATGACTATAATTAAAACGACGCTAAAAAAAACACTAAAAAAAAAAAAAATACTTATTAGAGTTAGTAAATTAAAAAATTAAAAAAAAATTAATAATAAAAAAAAGTTCGAACTTATCTAAATTGATCCGTGAACAAAATAAAATAGGATACTTTGGTTTCAGCTAAAAAGCTTACTTATCCTAGTCACCGCGTAAAGGCGTATCCTAAATGACTAGGTTTATAACAACCCGAAGTTGTATCCTAAGTAGGACGTACGCAATAAATAACATGAATAACATTGTCCAATAACATGGAATATTATTCAAGGCCCCGTTTAACGAGTGCAAATTATTTAAAGAAGGTTCTCAAAGGCCTAGAGTTCGGCATATTTTATATTTAGTTAAAGGAGCTACAAATAAAAGACGCCGCCATTAGCAATCTTTACCGCTCCAGCCGTCTTGCATCCTAAACAACCTGAGTAATATTACCTGAAAGGTATTTAAGCGGTTGCTTAGATATGGGGTCCAAGAAGCTTTTATGAACCGAAAAAAAAAATTTTAAAAAAACGAATATAAAACATTGCTCCTCGAAGCTGTTTTTCAGACGATTCAATAAATCATTAATAGACCGAGCTGACCCGTGCTCATATTTGGTCTATTTCCAAAAACCAGCTTAAGGAACGTCGTATTTGCTTGGTTTAGGGTTAAAAACAAAGTTTCTTGTTGTAGTAGGAAAAGTAGAAAATAAGAAAAAAATTAATAATTATTAAAAAGTTATTATCGTTATTAAATCCTTTTTTTAATACGTTTACGTATTGTTTTGATGAAAAAAATTTCACGTTACCAAATATCGATATAGAATCACATGAATCAACCAATCAAATCACGAATTTGTTGTTGACCCGGATCAGCCCGGCGATGCAAAAAAAAATGACAAACGCAAAAACAGCTATCTAAACCTGTCTTGATGCACTAATAAAAAACCCTAACCCTAAAATTAATGATGATTTTATCGATTTCGTGTAACCTACTCCGCTTTAGCTTTAAATGTACCCCAACTTAGTAAAAACTTTGTTACACCACTTAAAATCCTGATTCTTTTTTCCAGGACAAAACTTAAATAAAACAATGAATCTAAGCCAATAGTATATAAGATTACTGAGATTAAAAGTTGTGATTTGATCAGTGATCGTAAAATTTTTTATGAATTGCCCGAGTTTTTATATCAGTAGATGTTAGCTAGAATAACCCAAATCTGATCAATTTCGGATCATTTTTGTTTATGAGTATCATTTCGTTATCACCTAATTTCAATAATCACATCGCTCCAACTGGAAATTTCCGCCCATATGTTGAAGATATTTTTATCCTTGAATATGTCTTGGTTGCCTACTTTATTTCTTTTTTGCGTAAATTATGATTTTATAAGGTCAAATTAATACTATTATAAAAAATTTATACCGGTATAAAAGAAAATTCAAAAAATAACCAACCCAACCGGGTTATGAAACCCATTTTGCGTAGTCACATTTGATAAGTATGTCAAAAACTAAACAAATCGTGTAAATCGGACAGAAATTTTTTTTATTTGTATGCTTAACAAGTTTCTTTCAAAAAAAATAAAAATAAAAATAAGGCATAAGGTTAAAAGATACATAATACATTTAAAAGATAAAATAAAATCCAATTTTTAAATTTACCAATATGGATAATATAAATCAAATCTTATAATATATATACATAAAACTAAAACATATCAGAAGTCAATAATTCTTTTAACAACATAAAATTGTATCCATTTACAAACAACTTATCCACAATGTCAGTAGGCGAATGAGATATTATCAGAGGATCTATAACAGATACAACTTCAATCATCTCTTCGTCCAAGATGTGAGTAATTTTATGAATATAGAATAAATGAAGTCTGATGTTCGTATATGAAGTCAAGTTAAATTTGTTACATATTTTACATTTAAATCTACTAGTTTCTTTATAACCGCCAAGAACAGCACCTTGTATTGTTTTTATTGAACCTGGGTTTGACTGTAGAGCTAATGCTTCATTCCAGATTTGTGGCATTAGTGTATTCATTAGGAATTGTTCATCCCATAAGATATATGGATTGTTATCGTGAAAAGGTGGATTTTTAAATGATGGACACCATGGAAGGTAATGAAGTATATCTAAAGTCGTATCATTCTGATCAGTGGTGTGTGAAGTAAACCAATCTTCAATATCAATTAATAAAGATAAATAATCCATACTATCTGATATAGTGGTGTTTAGTGATGTATCGGCGGTAATAGATGAAGATGAAGTGCTATATGAATTTGAAGACAACTGATCTTCCCAATTAGATAAATAGCAGTCATGAGTATTTGATAATGAATTAGGATAATTTATAGTAGATGAGGTTTCCATTTTAAAAGAAATATCATTAGCTGAGACTGGCAATAGTAACGAATTGATTGACATAATATTAGGTGAAGTTGTAATATCTTGGACAGTTTCGTTGTTTGAAGAATCCATGATATCGGCTAAATTATCGATTTCTTCAACAATTTGGGTTTTTGGATCTGGTCGCCACTGTTTTGCTATTTGATAAATATCAAATTGTCTTAACTGAAAGACAGTATCTTCTGACATAGATCTTTCTTTTCTTCGTCGCTCTCTTCTCTTTATTTCACAGAGATGCTCATATTCTTTATCCAATTTCTTTCTTAAGAGAAACCATGCTCTATCCGTAAATGGTTGAGTTGATAGACGAACATTTATTAATGTACAGTTTAGATAAGAAGGACACTCCTCAAGTGTATCATTGTATTTTAGGCAATTGTTTGTATTCCTTTCAACTTTCATTGCGCTTAATTTTGCTTGAATTGTGGAAAGTCGTTGAAGTTTTTTTTGAGAATTTTCTTTGTTTTTGATACGTAAATCCATATCAGTTTCTAGCTTTCGTTTAACAACTTCTTTCATTTTTGCAGCGCCTTCTTCCCGTTTTTGTTTTAACCATTCTCTTCTAAACGATGGTGGAACTTTTTTATATTCTTCAAGTGCTTGAATAACATGTTCGTACCAATAGACGCTCGAGGGACGACGTCTAGTTCCCCTATCCCATGCGCGTCGTGACCATGATGGTATAAATGTAAGTCCAGAAATTATTTCTTCTAAAAAATATATATTTGGCATATCAAAACCATACATCTTGGAAATAATTTGTTTTTGAATTTCATCTTGTCTGATAATTTAGAAAATGCGTTAGATATTCATTTAATATTTATTTGACAATAATTTCACCGACAGTCAATTCACAAAACGTTCCTCCAAAAAGCATTTCACAGTTAATGTCATGGCTGATGCTAAATTTGACCTATTTTATATATAATTGTATTTTTTAGACTAGGTTAAGATTTAGGGTTAGATTTGTTAATAAAGAGTTTATATTCAAAACGAGACCCCAAAACTTCAGCATCAGCCGTAACAATTAATTCTCCTTTTAGAATTAGGAAGAAGGAGGATGAGTACTATTGTGCAGTAGTTCTTTTTTTCGTGTCAAGTTAGGGTATGTTCAGACTATATGAAAAATTGTTGAACTAATTATGTTAGTAAACATTTGAAAATTGGCTGTCGATGAACAATTTAAAACATTGCATAAAATATTTGAATATTAAAAAACACTGCATAAAATATTTGAATTTGAATGTTAAAGATTACCTAATCGTCCTTGCTTTCAGACATTGCTCACAAGACCTTACGTTATATTCCCAATAAACTTTTCGTATTTTACCTTTACCACAGAATTGGCATCCACGCTCGAAAACCAGTCTAATATATTGACGTTCTGACATGCCGTCTGGTGGAGGCATCTGTAAGAAAGGCAAATATTCTGCTCTCGAAGCCCGCCAAATTTCTTGTGTTGTTATTGAATGTTCAGTGCACAAGAAACCATTGAACTTCTTGCAAATACGTGCCAGTGACAATAAGTCTACAGGCGGTAGGTACTGACATATGTTTATAAACATTTCCGGTGGAATTGTTGTAAAAATACATATTCCTACCGATTTTGTTTTTTTCCTTACACCTCGACTATTTTTTTGAAACATGAGTTTCTAATTAATAGATTAAAGAAAAATAAATTGACAAGAGATAATCAGAAAAAATGAAAATTTTGTGTTAAATTCTATTTATAAAAAAAGTAGTTCAGATTTCTCTCGGAAAAATAATTTTTTTTTTTTTCATTCTGTAAGCCTCATGTTTATATAAGCGAAACTTTAATTTATTTTGGTAATTTTTATAAAAAAAAAAAAAAAAAAAACAAGAAATCTTCATTTTCTATACGCAATATTTTGTATTCTGTATCATTAAAGTAAAAAAATTTAAATATATCCTACCAACAAAAAAACAAAATCTAGAAATATATAATTGATAATTACAAAATAACTTTTCTTCTAAAAGAAAAAACATTTAATACAAGTTAGTTCACTGACCAGAATGGTCTTATGACCCAAATAGAAAATCGTTCAAAATAAAATTTTAAATACTAATGTAACCTCTTATATAGCAGTTTTTCCATTGATGTAACGCGTTTTATCACTGGATCTCAGTGAATCAAACCATATATAGTTGACTCAATCGGAGATTTTTTTATAAACTCATATCCATTAAATGTCATACGAAAGACCAATATGTTAATAGCGAAAGTTACGTAATTCTACCTTGATTATCGAAGTAACAATAGTGCACGGTTTGAAATCTTCTAATTCGCCTCAAACAAGTAATGAGCAACCAGATCGTCAATGAGCTTATGAGCGTTGGATTATTCGTATATACATATAGGTACGTATTTTGAAAGGTTTTTACTTTTCTTTAATTCTATTTTGGTCCTTCTATATTACTGGATCAAGTCTATTGTGGTCTGATTTGTATGATTTTAGGTTTAGATTATCATGCTGAAATGGTTATGATTCCCGTTCTGTTAAATCTGATCTCTCTAAATCAAAGCTATAACTAGTTTTACCATCTGTATTCCTAGTTTGATTCATAGTCCTCATTGTCATAGTTGTGCTTGTGAAAACAGAATACGTATCGGTCACACCTGTAGATCACTAATTAAAATATTACTATAAATACAATTTATCATAATTATCGTGTATACTGTATATCGAAGAACTCGAAAATTCACCTATTATAATATCTCTTGTGATTGCTTGTTAATGTATATAAACATAAACTTCCATAAGAACCGCTACTAAACAATCTTTTGTATGTTTTATTAACGCATATAAAGCGCGAGTTTTTACGAAGATTCTTTAAACATGCACGCTATTTTGGACTTTAAAACAGTCAAGGAACATATTTATTAAACAACCATGTGTTATATATATATTATTAATATTAGAGCTTATGTTTATTTTAAATTTGGCTAGAGTAATCTAGTTAGAATAGTAAATTAAGTTAAAATTTTGAAGAAATTTTTAATATAGAAAAAAAATTTTCGCGTCACAACAATTCTTTATAATATTAATAAATAAAATAATAATCAGTAAAATCGCATATACATTATTACTGTAGTGATAATATACTATTCTAGTGACAGAATATATTTCTTTACCCCTAGTGATAAGCAGAATTCAGAAATAATGATACCTATATTAAAACATATATGGGGGGCTCCACAGCAAAAGGTGGTGATGGGTCAAAAAAAAAAATTTTAGTAAAAACTTTGTTTTTGCAAAAATTAGATTATTTAGAACATAATATCAAAAAACTACAGAAAAATTTTTTTTGGCCCATCACCACCTTTTGCTGTGGAGCCCCCCATATAAAACTTGATAATAAAAGTATGGTATTAAGGTAATGCTCAAGTATTTAAAATGTCCCGAGGTACATAGTCTTAATTTTGATATATGGGCTAGGTGCTGAAGAAAGGGACCAAATTGTCAAAAAATAGATTTTGCGAAAATTTGATTTTTATATTATAAAATCTATATTAACTTATAGGAAAATACAAATTTCAAAAGATTATACTATAAAATTTTATTAATGCACCAGTATTTCTTCCTTAAGTGAAAATGTTCTTGAGCTAATTTTAAATTAGCTAAACTTAAAAAATTCATTTTGAAAAAATTGTCAATTTGGTCCCTTTCTCCTGCACCTAGCCCATATCGATATACATTAGGCCATATAAATTTATATAATTGGTTTTCATATCCCGCCCGCATTGACAAAGTGGGGATCGAAAAAAAATTTTTTTTTATATAGTCAACCAATAAAAATTCTCCGTTCTATAATCATGTGATAAAGTAATAGCGATAGGTAACGTTTATCTAATTGCACGTCCGTAATCTGTGACAGGTTAAGCCACTAATTTCAATCACCATCTGTAGGGTTGTTAATGGAGCAACATACTCTGGAGCAACCCGAGTTATACTCCAGAGTATAGTTGGAGTGGGTTGAGATTTTCAAAATTAAATAATAATCGGAGCAAAGTTATTTATTATAATCTGGGTTGCTCCATGTGAAGTGATCTGGAGTAGACCCGAGTTGCTCCATGTAGTGATCTGGAGCAGATCCGAGTTGCTCCATGTGGAGTAATTTGGAGCAGACCCGAGTTGCTCCGTTGCTCCATATGAAGCAGACCTGAGTTGCTCCATGTGAAATAATCTGGAGCAGACCCAGGTTGCAGTGATTTGAAACAAAGCCTAACGCTAAGTTACTCCATGTGGAGTGGTCTGAAGTCTAACTCGGGTTGCTCTGAATTTTTCATTGATCATTTGAAATATCTATGTAATTGAGTATAAAGATAATTTACGTTAATCAGTAAAATTAAAATCATGAATATAAATACTTATTCATAAATACACGTCTCTAAATGCTTATTTACAATTACTTATCTAATACTCTTCAAATAATTTTATTTGCATTAAATTAGTTCGTGAGTATAAAGATGATTTATTAACGTTAATCAGTGGAATTAAAATCAAGAACAAAGTACTTATTCATAAATACTTGTTTCTAAATACTTATTTACAATTACTTATCTAATACCCTTCAAATTATTTTATTCGTATTAAATTAGTTCGTGAGTATAAAGATGATTTATTAATATTAATTAAAATCAAGAACAAAATATAATACTTATTTATAAATAATTATTGCTAAATACTTATTTACAATTACTTATCTAATGCTCTTCAAATCATTTTATTTATATTATTAATTAGTGAGTATAATTTATTAATGTTAATCAGTGGAATTAAAATTATGAACATAAATACTTAGTTACAATTAATTACCTACTCTTCAAATAATTTCATTCGCATTAATTTAGTCTGAGTATAAAAGATGATTTATTAACATTAATCAGTAGAATCAAAATCAAGAACAAAATAAATACTATCGCTAAATACTTATTTACGATTATTTATCTATATCCTTCAAATCATTTTATTCACACTAAATTAGTACATGAGTATAAAGATAATTTATTAACGTTAATCAGTGAAATTAAAATCATAAATATAAATAGTTATTTATAAATACTTGTCTCTAAATACTTATTTATAATTGCTTATCTAGTACTTTTCAAATCATTTTATTCTGTTAAATTAGTTTGTGAGTACAAAGATAGTTAATTAGTGGAATTAAAATCAATAAAATACTTATTTATAAATACTTGTCTCTAAATACTTATTTACAATTACTTATCTAATACCCTTTAAATTATTTTATATTCATATTGAATTAGTATGTAAGTATGAATATAAATACATATCTCTAAATACTTCTTCAAAATTAATTATTTAATATTCTTCAAATCATTTCATTTAGCTCATAAGTATAAAGATAATTTTATTAATATTAATTAGATTTATTCAAATTATAAATATAAATACTTATTTATAAATACATATTTCTAAAGACTTATTTACAATTAATTACTTATGATTTAAATTTAATTTTCAAAGTATCTTTATATATATTTAAATTAATGAATTTTAATAATTTTATTAATAAATAGTTTTTATTAATCTAGTTATAATAAATAAAAGTTTATTATATTAATAATTCCTTTAGATTTTTCAAGTATCTAGTTTATATAAAAATATACTTTATATATTTTTATAAAATATATTTGATTATTATTATTATTATTTATTTAATTACTAAACAAAAAGCTATAATATATTTTTAAAATAACTATTTTTAATTGCTATATATTAAAAACTTGTAATTCATAATAGATAATATTTATTTAATATAATATTGAAGTTTGTTTAGTTAGAAAAGTTAGTCATAATAGTATAGGTAATAGTCAAAAACAAACTAAACAAGAAATAGTAGAAGCAATAAAGAAAATAATAAAATTTGAATAAAAGTTTTTAATCTAGTAAAGATTACTATTTTTTTTTTCTACAAGAGGATCTTGTCCTTTATTTTATTATTATTTAATACTGATTACAATATAAATATTCTAGCTAAACTATGCATATAAATATGAAAGCTAAACTAAATATGCAAGAGACTTTATCCTTATATCATAATACAAGTAACTATTACTAATATAAATAAGCTCAACTAAATATATATAGTGAATAATTATTACAATTCTGAACTTACTTGGATACCCATATAGCTCTAAGTATGATCAACTCGCTAGCAAGTTTACTTCTCAAAAAACTCTGTATTTAATATACAAAGCAATCTAATTTCTTGATAGTTCACTAACAGCCTAGTTAAGAACCTCTTATCACCTTCTACCCTATGCTAAACTGATCCAAGGTGAGTAGGTTACAAAGAGAGAAAATAAAAATTATATATATAATGAAAAATACAAAATCATGTGTTATATAATATAGTTAAATAAAGAAATCTGCTAAAAGGTAAAAACTTTTAAACAACAAAAACAAAAATAAAAAGAAACAAATGTTCCTTCCAGAACAGTATAAAAATTATGTATATATAATACTAAAGTTATTCTTTAAATTTTCAAAGAAGCAAGGTATTATATTATAAAAAGAATATTAACAACTTAGGTTTTCTATAGTATATGTTTGACCTAACATGTATTTGTTGTTTATTTATAATATAGAAAACAACAGGC